GGTGTAGAGCTGGTCTGCTATTCCACAATCAGGACGAAAACCACACTGCTCTTCTTGAGATTCAACAATCAGACAGACCCTCCTCTCCAGGACCCCTGAAAAGACCTTACCAGGGAGGCTCAGAAGTGTGATCCCCCTATAGTTGGAACACACTCTGCAGTGCCACTTTTTTAAATGGGGGACCACCACCTTGGTTTGCCAATCCAGAGGAACTGCTCCCGATGTCCACAAAATATTGTAGAGTTGCGTCAACCAACGCAACCCTACAACATCCAGAGCTTTAAGGAACTCCGGGCGAATCTCATCCACCCTTGCCTTGCCACTGAGGAGCTTTTTAACCACCTCTGTGACCTCAGCACCAGAGATTGGAGAGTCCGACCCAGGGTCCCCAGGCTCTGTTTCCACGTTAAAAGATGTGCCGGTAAGATTGAGAGGGTCTTCAGAATATTCAARATTCTTCCCACCGACCCACAATGCCCTGAGTTGAGGTCAGCAGCACAGTATCTCCACCATAACCAGTGTTGGTGGTGAACCGCTTGGCTGGAAGATGCCAACAGAACCACCTCATCTGCAAACAGCAGAGACAAGACCCTGTAGTTCCRAAACCAGACACCCTCCTCTCCACAACTGCACCTTGGGAGCATGTCCTTAAAATGTACAAACTGCCACTTCACAGGAATTGCCCCAGTCCTCCATGCAATGTTGAAGATATGTCAACCATGGCAACCCCACAACACCCAGAGCCTTCAGCATCTCGGGGCAAATCTCATCCACCCTGCCCCCTCAGAGGTGGATATGGAAGGTGGATTGAGACAGACACTCTCTTCACATCCAAGACATAAGATGACATGATTACAAAATKGATTTTTGGCTTAAGGTGTCCTGGGACCAAGTACTCTAATGTACTGCCTTATGCTGAAATATGGTGTTACAAACAACCRGTGRTTAGCACAGAAATCCAGTAACAGAACACCACWCTGGTTCAGTTTAGGGAGGCAGTTCTTTCCAATCACCCCCTTCCAGATAACTCAGTCATTGCCCACATGGGCATTGAAGTCACCTGATGCATAAGCACAAACAGTTAGAACCTTCCCTCCTGCAGCACAAAGCCACAGAGAGMCAACCCTCTCCTTCTTCACTGGGGTGAACTCCAACYTCGAGGCACACAAATAGGGGGTTTCTCCCCTACCAGGGWTTAATACAACAGACAACAAAYCCCCCTGAGATCATGGGGTTACACTAACCCCTCCACCATGTTKAGGTGGTGATAGTAGAACACAGTAAACGTTAAATGTTTCCACCAAACTCAACACACACCTCATTTTAAAACACCCTCACTCAGCACATACAGTCCGAACAGATGAGCWTGAGACAAGAGTTCCAAATGTCAGCTTTTATTTTCTTTTCTTTACATGTAGATGTGTTTAACAACTTAGGATACATCACCATTTGTGTTAAGGCTAGGTTATAGTCACGCTTTGGGTACTATTCGTGCAGGGCGCACCCTCGCCAGTGGTGTAGCTTTTTATATATATTTTTTATACTTGACTCTATGTTGTTGTTGTATTCTCCAAAGGGACAGTACACTTTATAACTTGTGAAAATGTTGTAAGAGAACAAAAGATTGACAGAAAAACCAACTATTTGAATGGTGAGCGGTGCGCACAGTCTTTGCAGTTACAAAAATTCGGAGGTGCACGACCACGCTCCGGAACACAGCACGGGGCCAAAGCGCAGGGGTGGGGARTGCACAATTGTGTCGCTATTTGCTCATGTTCGGTGCAACACGCCCACTATAGACCTAGCATTTTGAGTAGGAGTACACGATAACTTATTTTAAGAATCGATACCGATAACCAATAACTTTCTCCTTCTAACGGCTGATAACCGATAACATGCCAGGAGATAAGATGAGTCCAAAATGGGTAAGATCATAACACGAACAAGACCAAAAAAATGACACAGTAAATTATATTATTTGAAATAAACTCTTAGCA